GGGGGGGGAGGAAAAAGCCCCCCAAGAAAGTCCAGTTGCATTTTGGAAAAAGCCCCTTTGGGGACCCCCCCCAGACCAAAGGAGGGGCTTTGCAGACTCCAGAGGGGGGAGGGAGACCAGAGCCTAAGTGACCGAGGGGCCTTTTCTGGTGCTGAGATCCCGGAAGGTGCCCCTGCTCACCCCCAACCGCCCCCAGTGTGCCCCCCCCGTAGCCTTGGCTGGTTTTCCTTCAATGATCAGAAGACCCTGGGGAGATTCCGCCCCCCCCCGAGGGCTGCTGGGACTCTGCGCTTGGCTTCCACGTAATCCTTTCCTGACCTCAATTCCCAACTAAAAGGGGCCTTGAAAATGTCCCCACGCCTGGATTTGGGGCACGACGTTCTGGAAAGATCCTAAGAGCCGTGACAATTAAGGGTGTTATCTACCAGCTTGTGCCGAAATAATATTATTATTTGGGGTGCTGTTCTCTGTCCAAACAAGGCCCCCCCATCACCACCAGCTCCTCCTCGTGCAAGGTGGGCAAAAGGCGGAAGCCACCGTCTGACCGAGGCCAGCCTGGAGCTGCAGCTCAAATACTTTGGCCACTACTACTCTCTGGAAAGGAGCCTGACGCTGGGGAAGACGGAAGGAGAAGGGGACGGCCGAGGAGGTGGAGAGGGCTAGACCGGGTCATCGACACAGTGAAGATGAGTTGGAAATCTGAACAGACTCCAGGGGACAAGAGCGGGCTGCCTGGCATCCTGTGGCCCATGGGGTCACCAAGAGCCAGAGAACAACAACACTAGAAGCCACGGATGGTCAGTATTAATAGTTTACTATAGTGAAGTTTTTATTAGTTTTAATTATATGATATTATTATTATTATTATTTTTAGTTATTAGTATTGTTTAACAATATTCTATTGTTTAATAATTAGGATACTAATTTGTTTATGTTTTAATTGTTATTATTAGTATATTTATGTTAAAGGGGAGTTAAAGCGCATTATGGACTTGGTTATTTATATAGTTGGTTAAGGTTAGTTAGATTATGATTATTATATTTGTAACCCTGTATTCAGCTCTGGGAAGTGGGGGAGGGAGGGGGGGGTTAGGGTGGGTTGGTTTTGGGGTTTATATTGCAACTTTTATAAAACTTTTCAATAAAAAAAAAAAGAAGAAGAAACAATGGATGGAAACTGACCAAGGAGAGAAGCAATCTAGAACTAAGGAGAAACTTCCTGACAGTTAGAACAATTAACCAGTGGAACAACCTGCCTCCAGAAGCGGTGAATGCTCCAACACTGGAAGTTTTTAAGAAGAGACCGGACAGCCATTGGTCCGAAATGGTATAGGGTTTCCTGCCTGAGCAGGGGGTTGGACTCGATGACCTCCAAGGTCCCTTCCAACTTTATTATTATTATTATTATTATTATTATTATTATTATTATTATTATTATTATTATTACAACTGAACAACAGCAGAGAGGAGCCCTGGCCCCACCGTGGCAGCCCTGCACAGCTCCGGGGCTCGACATAAATGCAACCCAGAGAAAATGGGGAATGGCAGCCTTGGAGATGGGGATCCTCCCGGCCTTCCATCAGAGCCCCTGAAAGGCCAGCAAGGCAGGAGGAGCCCCTGGCCACCTTCCTTCCCCAGCAAACAGGACGGGGAGGCTCCTTGCTCACCCTCCTGGCTAAACTCTGGCTAGCTCCGGCCTTCCCCAGCGGGGTCCTCCCCCTTTCACCCTTGGGAGAATTTGGAAGGGTTTGTTCTCTGGAGAAGCACCCTCCGATCCATCTTCCCTTCCCTGTTACGGAGATCCCAGTTAGCTGCATCTAAGGGAAATCTTTTTTCTCCACTACTTTGGAGAAACAAACCCAAGCCAGGGGGGCCAAGAATCCATGGCTG